AGGTTATAGTCAACACTTGGTCTATCCTAGTATTCACACATAGAATCGGTAGCTCAGTATGGATAATATTATTTTTCCAACCCGGAAAATGAAGTGCCTCCTAGCAACTCTCAGGTGAACTGTAGTGTTGATCAGACCAGTTCCTTGGCCACACCCACCTCATTCAAAAAAACTTTGTTCAATGTACAGCACTGCAGATTTTAATGGAAAACTAGTACCTACTGCACATTATAAAAATGATTGTTCTCAGGAAAGCAAGCTAACATATTATACCGCAAAAGTTCAGATAAACATTCTTACATCAGTTCCATCATCTGCCTTGACTGACACATCTGAGAAATACCCCTCCTCCAGGGCACTTAGAAGGGAGTAGGGGGAATCTGGACCTTGGTCAGAGGGGGACAACTGAAAAAAAGACAATTTTTTTCAGGAAATCATCATAATAGTTTATTTTTGGACAACACACATTAGAAGCATTGACAAACATCCAATTTCTTTATTGCAATATGTACATGCATTGCAATTAATCATTGTGCAAGAAAGAAAACTGCTACATGTACATTTGCTCTCTATATACACAAAAGTAAGCAAGTTACATGTACATGTACATGTACATGTACATATAAGTATCCGACACTATACTGAGACACAGGGTACACAAAGTGCAAGCTCATCTCTCCTCACCTTTCTACATTGTAAAATGAAGGACTTCTCATATGTCAGAACCATGTGGTCACCTGGCAATTCTCCTGGGAAGTCAGCCTGAAAGAGAAGAATCAAGACCTCAAACATTGAAAACACACCAAAATCAACAACGAAACCAGAATGACAAAACTGAAATATCAATTTCTTGTCTAAAACACTGTAAAAGCTGCAAAATGCACAGTATAACAAGGATATTATCATTCAATGTTTAAAAACTCAAGATATCTAAAGACAAAAGTAAAGGAACTACTTGTATCTTGCAAATCAGAATACATGTAAAACATGTGCGTACACCATTGACCTCACCTTAAATGCTATAACATCCCCGGTGGATGTTCCTCCATACCTCAGTACTGCAGGGTCACCAAGTATAACCTACCAAGTGGAAGATGGTGGAAAACCCTATTCAGAATGATTTACAGTGCACATAATGTATGATGAAAGACATCAAACCCTTCAATCCCAGTGCAAAAGTAACTCCAAATATTTGTCTCATTATAAGATGTAAAATCATATATCACACTGTATTTTTTGCAATTTGAATTTTGATGATTCCATTCCAATGCCTCAACTTAACATACTAGTAATACTGGTAACTATACAAATTTAAACGCATAGTAACTGGGAGCAGAGTTTTGAATACATATTTTCCAAGAAAAAAAAAACAGTATTGAGTAAACATGTTGGTTAGTATACCACCACTTTGTACCAATTTGCCCTACACCATTGGGTTGTCTTTGCCTCTGTCAGATGCTAACCCCTTTACCAATGATTTATGTTGTGTACAGGAAACAATATCAATATTGGTTGCTTCTGACAGAACTGGGGCAAGTTCCATATAGGATAAATAACAGCCATTCATAACAGTTGCATTAATTAATGTAATGAAAACTACATGTACATCTTTCCTTTTGATAATAGAAATAGAGAAAAAACAAAGCTTTCATATTTTAAAATTGATTTCTTAACTATTCCAAAACCCTCCTAAGAAGCTCTAGTCACATCCGAATTACGAGAATGATTACATTTGGTAATTGTTACATATGCTCCCACTGCTTTCCAATTTGCTTTTCAAAATATTGAATAGCCCTAATCAACCGTATCAGTCAGCCTATCTGCCTGTATTCCCCGGTCCCCAGTTAGACTGATGCTCACATTGACACAAGCCATAATGAGTGATTCAGTACACCGATAAAAGGACCGGGCTGTTCATTAGTCACTGTGTACAGCATGGAAAGGATGTTGAATAGAAGTGGCATGCACCCATCCACTCTTTAATGAAACATATTGTCAGAACGAGCCCCGTTTGAAATTCACATGATCCAAAAGAATGAATGAATTTCTTTATGTCAGGTAATATTCACTCATAGAGAATGGAGTACAAACATAACAATACACACAAACCATACACACAACAATTTATACACAATTTTAAAAAGAGAATTTCTGAATTGGTAATCAGACCTTAATTAAAAGACCTTGTATAGATCTATGTATACTACTGTTATTTATGTTGTACAGTCTGTTGATGAAGGAATCAATGGCATAATCTCAAAGCAAGGCCTAGCTTCGATGATGGCTCCTCTTCTTTGTCAGAAATTTTCAATCAGAAGCATTCAGGTATACATGTACATGTCATGTATGCTACAAATGGCAAACTAATGCCATCCTATCTCTATGTAAATGGTAATGTTGGCAGCTTTTGTACTGTTGTCACAATCTTTCCCCTTGATCTCTGTAGGATATCGTGGCAACAAGTCCTGTGAAAAGTCCTGATCTAACCCATGTACATACACTAACGACATAGGCAAAGGGACATCAGGTGGTAGTTTAGAGGGGAACAACAACAATGCAGTGACACTGCAGTCAGAGTTAATAAAATGCTGTTCTTGCTCTTGCCATTATGTGACGTGATAGTTAGAAGACATTATAAATCTCAGATAGGCTACCAAGCTTACACACCATGATGGGCCATCTCTATATACAGTCTTAGTCATGAGTGGCTTCCAAGTTCCAAAGATGTCTGTCCTCTATCATGAAGTAGTAAATGATAAAGGCTCTACTCCAGATTTGTACAAACCAAATAAGTTTGGGTAAACTTTCCCAATCGAGATGTTACACTTTACTACTAGTACTGACCTCATATGCTTCGCAGGAGAAGAAAGGCATGGGCTCTGCATCGTCCGAAACTTTCCAGATCACATCACCATTCTCATCCAGCTTAAACTCTGTCCTGTAGGTCATCAGTAAGGATGTACAACACCAATGCATACAACATTACACACATATGATGTTGGGTAGACAATCTAATGTCTAATGGCCTTTCATAATTTGTTTTCATTCTGTATCCGTCCACTTTCTGTGGGACATTGTACACAGCCATAAACCCAGTTGTATAAAGTCACCAAGATTTTACTGATGCAACAATACATGTATACCTGAAATGACTGCAATCAATCTGAGGTAAATACTAAACTTGACATGTTTATTGGAAAGCTAATCAAGGGTTTACAACTTTGGTTTCATTCATCAAATCAATACATAACATTTCTACATGCACAGAGTTTGAAATGGACAAAAGACAGTGCAGTGAACATCAACTTAATAAAAAAAATTCATTGTCAGTATGCATGGTTGCCTTCCATGCAGATTATTGCATGCCATCAATAATATTTATTGAGCTGTGTGCAGTTTTCATGTATGAGCAAGAGGATGATTTATGATTTTCAATGGGGACTTCTCCTTTCATTTTGGCATGGAACAAGAAATGGATAGTAATACTCCGGTATGGGAGACTCCTAAAATCTTGTGACCACCTGATGACACATTGTCAGATGATGACGACCGTGTAACCAAACAAGTTAAGCTGTTGTTTGTATTTGTACAAGACTCGGGGTACATTACTTGTTTACCCAGTAGATTTTTTTTGGATTTGCTTGAAAATAACATCACGTGTACTTTCCGCTTGTATAGTCTTTGCAGACTTGAAAACGACACAAAAGATCCCAAAGTCGAATCTTCATTCGATTTTGTTGTCATCTTAAGTTTGACAAATCGATGTAAACAAAAACCAATAAAAACAGCTGTTACTGAGAAATACACACAAGAGCATCCAGACACGCTTTATACTCATTCGGACCAGTAAACTAGTACAAGGAATGGAAGATGAGCTTTTAGTGCTGCCCAAATTAGCCCAGAGGTGATGATGATATCACCTCCAGTGAAAATAGCTCAGTATATCACGGAACCAACCCGGTTAGATCACCGGCAAAACTTACCCCTCGATACCAGTAGGTTCCACTCGTCCAGAAAGCGACACACATTCCTCAATCTGCAAAATCAAAACGCACAATTATTCACGGAACCCAGAATATCATAACTTTTGGTTGGTGTTTCAGGACAAGCGGCGCAAAAACGATAAACAAGAGGTACTTACTCTCCAAGTCCCGTAAAAGGCATTTTCGTCAGCCATCTTGGATGACCTCCGTCTGGAAATGGAATTGTGGGAAAATTTTAAATGCCTGGGTACCTGGATCAAAGCGGCCTCTAGCTGTTCATTAGAGTACTGCACAATGTGGTCTTAGCTTTGTTTGTCAAACTTTGTACAACTACTCTCCAAGCAGAGGTTTGGGTTTGGGGGGTATTTTTAGTGTGCTTTTAGGCTTTTTTGGGGGGGTTTCTCTTTTGCACTTAATTTTGTGGGGAAAAAAATTCAGTGCAAAAGAGAACCCCCCCCCCAAAAAAGCCTAAAAACACACTAAAAATACCCCCAAAACCCAAACCTCTGCTTGGAGAGTATGTACAACTGCAGTAAAGTATTTTTCCTCGCCGTTGCGCTTCGCTTTTGAACAGTGGGCACATTCTCTGTCTGCATCTTTTGGTCAACTTTGGGACATAAGTCAACACACTTCACAGGAGAGCGACATTTGCTTACATTGCATCAATTTGATTTTCGTAAATTTGCTCTGTTATTTTTGATTCCGGATGTTGATTCAAGCTATCTAATATTAGCTAAACGGATACAGCCTGAGCCATTGTCTCATTGTCTTTTTAGACCAACGAAAAGATATCCAACATGTCCAAGTAAGATGGTGTTCTGGTAGCCAAGTTCCTTACTGAAGGTTTTGTGAAAGGAAAACTGGTCAGTGAGAAAATATTTTAATCTTTCCTGGTTGATCTCTTTTACAGGACACGCAGGACTGTGGGAGGATTATTATTAGTGAACTTTCCCCACATCCGGTTCCCAAATCCCAGACCACGCCCACCTGTTACTTCCGGGTGCCCCGCGCGGAGAACTATGGGAACAAAACTGCATCATTCCCCAGACCGAGGCTACCAATATTTTTCCTTGCAGGACGACTAAAGTACCCGGGGCAAAAACGCCAGAAAATGGGGAATTCGGACACCAAATTGAACTTCAGAAAGGCAGTTATCCAGTTAACAACCAAGACACAGGTAGGACACCGTCTGGGTTGTGTCAGCGTCGTGACAAATCGTTGAGACAGGTCCGTGCGACGGGCTCGAATTTGAGTTTTTCTGATTACGTTTCAATATGGCGGCGCTCTGGGCCGAGGAAGACTAGTCGGACATAGAAAGCTAATTTTGCGACTTGTCAGGTTGATATCTCACATCAACATTGGGGCGAAATTGTAAACAGAAATGCTCATCGTGTGCCCAGTGGAGAAGTGTCCAAACTGTTCCCATGTGTGTGTGAGAGACGTTGTTTATATGATACAGGTGTAGCGCAGCAGTCGGTATGACGTCAATGTTGACCTGGTGTAGTTGTGTGAATTTACGTGGAACAGGTACTAATGATATATGTTGCGGCGATCTTTACTGGATGGTGATGGTTACTGGCTAGTAGCACAGAAAACATCTGGTTTCATTCAATTGCAATCCATCCGACCATTGCCAGCTGTTAGTCTTGTTTTATTGGAAGCAGGTGTCATTAGCCGATTAGGTATATCAATCATGAATTATGCAGATGCATTAAGGGGGTACTGTAAATGCAATTTACCATCCCAGTGGTTTATTTTCACACTTTTAGAGGTGTCCATGACACCACGAGTTGTGTTTTTGTATTGTCAGAATTCTCTGTTCTACTACTAGTACTACACATAGTTACAGAACTGTTTCAACCGTGAATTTGAAACACTACAAAAACCTCCTTTTCCCTCACACTCAGACTGCGAAATAAAGCCATCATGAAAGTTAATGCTTTTACAGTAGGCTCATTTTTGTAGGTCACTTACTTTAAAGAAGGTCTTTTATGTACATGATTTTTTTCCATTAGATGTCATTTATTGTATTGTAAGAACTCCAAGTGCAAGCCAAGTTATTTTTGTCACCCATGAGTTGAGTTGATAATGTGACATTGTGTTGCTTTTTCACTAAGCTCAGAGTACAATATTTTGATGCCAAGTCAGGCACATGAAGCTTGTTGTGTTACAATTAGATCACATTGTCTCAATTTTCTGTGTACTTCCCAGCCTGTTGAGGCCCAAGATGAGGCATTCTGGGACCAGTTCTGGACAGACTCTGTCACCAGCGTACAGGACGTGTTCGCTCTGGTTCCCGCGGCGGAGATACGAGCACTGAGAGAAGAGTCACCATCCAACCTGGCCACACTGTGTTACAAGGTGATTAACCTGCCCACCTTGGCCACTTTGTAGAAATGGGGAGCAAAAATGTTACAATGTAAAATTATGATTGACGTGCAGCAATGTTATTGTTTGTTGAACTGCAAACTTTGAAAGAAAGCAGGATTGCTAGATATTTGTTGTTGTTGTGTGGGGAAAGAATGCATTCTGTATTTAATCAAAGGGTAAGAAGTTACATGTAAGTCTTTCTAGGTGCCTTGTACTGTTATTTCTAGATCATATACAACTAGCCATTTTATATACATCATTACATGTATGTAGATTGTAACAAGGTTCACTGTGTGTCCTTGTTAAGACAGACACCATAGCTTTTTTTTTGTACATGTACATTGATTCATACAAGATGATCATGTGAAAATTATTGTGTCAAAAAATGTGTTTCAGGCTGTGGAGAAACTGGTGATGGCAGCAGAGTCCTCGTGTGCTACTGCCAAGGAACAACAGACAGGTACACAAATAACTTTCACTATTTCCCAGGACTATGACAATGAATACTGTTAAGTCCTATTAATTTTCTAATTGCTAAAATCTTTAAAGAAACTATCCGTAGAGTCTGAAGTAATGTCCTCCCATGTTGTTTGCCTTGACAGTGCTGAACTGTGTGCGCCTGTTGACTCGGATTCTGCCCTACATATTTGAGGACGCTGACTGGCGAGGCTTCTTCTGGTCAACCCTTCCTGGCCAGGCGGTCAGTACTGTCTACCCGTGCTTATTGTATCACGACTGGCTGTCATATTGAATAATCTAAACAGGCTTTGAAGGGAAAATTCCATAATTGCCTTGGTATATCATTCTTACCCCTCAAACTAACATGTACAATCCGTGAATGATGCAAAATTTGATAGAAATATTGCATTTTTTGGATGAACAAGAAAAGAGTTCAAAAGATTTGACATTTAGCTGTTTTATTTCAGGTTGAATGCATTACATACAATAACTGATCAAACTGATTTTAGATGGATGAAATGTAGTATGATAATATACTCTAACTAACATATCATTTAAAAATGCATGTTTATTTTAGACTCATGGTGATTGACTTTAATTGTTTTCCAGGGTGAAAACGACAGCCTGAATGATGTAAGCCCTATAAGTTTGGTTACGTTGTGTTGTTATGTTTTCACAAATATGAAGAGCATTGAATGTTTTGTTTTTTTGTTTACAGTTTTCATTCGCTGTCATATCACACATGATTTTTGTCCTTTACTTACAAGTCCCTGTATTTGTATCTGTTTTATGATGTACAGTTTCTTCCTCGATGAAATGTATATCTGTGTATAAAATCCAATATTGTACACGTGTATGATATAAGCTCTTCTGATCCTGTATGATGTTCAGTATTAACTTCCTATTGGACATTAGAACTTGCATGTCCTTTGCTTACTTTCTACATTTCTATCTTTTCTAGGAGGATGGAGGATCCATGCCTTTGGCTCAGTCCCTCCTGAATGCCTTGTCGGTAAGTCAAACAATATCACCATGACTTTTATCTTTATCAGCACAATCAATTTTAGCTGTCCTTATCTTGTGTACCAAGTGTTCCGGTTACCAAGTAGACTACAGAATAACAATGTTATCAGACCCAGGGAGGTTTACTGGATATGTAAATATTTACAAACAGAAGGTTCCTTGAAGGGGTTATGGTCTGAAGATGCACAGATTTCAATTTCTTCATAATTTATGAAAAAAATGCCCAAATTGCTGCTGATTTCTGAGTGCCGGGAAGGGCCAATTTAATTACAATGCTACATTGCATGCCAATAGATGAAAGTATGCAGGAGTGGAATGAAGTTTGTATGGTAAATAAGGATGTGTCATGTGTTTCAGGATCTCCTGTTTTGTCCAGACTTCACCGTGGCACCCAACAAGAAAGCTGGGCCTGTGAGTGTAAACACTGTCTCTATACAGGATGGCGTTTGACGTCATGTACTTAATGCAACACCAAGACAGAGATTTGTTCTATTATGTTGTGTCACCTTCATGCTTACATGGAACTCTAATCCTCACAGACTATGCACTGTCACACTTTCACATTCTTTGGACAATTAAAAGAATCAACAGTTGAAAGAAGGACAGTCCTTGCTTCAGAATAGTTTACTGCTGTATGCCATATTTTATACAGTGACAAGTAAATATTATGTAATTGGAGCGTGAGCCTATTAACATAAAGGACAAGTGAAGCCCTGTAAATATAGAGTTAACTGTAGATTCCGACATACATGTATGTTCTTGCAGATAAAGGGAATTCTAGTTGGTATTTCATAATGTTGAAATGGTGCTTATTTTTTTATGTCTTTTGAGGAATTTTACAGTGGAAAGTGAAGCAGTAGAATATTGACTGTGTTGAACTGTGTTGTAGGAGACCCATGAAGACCTGCAGTCCATTGACAGTTGTGAGTACATCTGGGAGTCCGGTGTGGGGTTTGCCCACTCCCCGGCTCAGTACCCACACCACGACCAGAACAGGTCTGAGATTCTCAAACTCCTGCTCACCTGCTTCTCAGAGACCATGTACCAGCCTCCAGGTCAGTAAAAGTTCTTCTGTCATGGCTTCAATGTTTGAAATCCTCCACTTTGATGTTTAAAGATAGTATAAACCAAATTCTCCAAATTTAAGGACAACTTTTGAAAATTCTTGTTGTACAAAATTCTTAACACCAGGCCCTGCTACTGGTAGATACATGTATTTTGAAGGTTCTTATGTTTAGGGATAGATGTTAGATAGGGATAGATATCGCCCTTAATAATTCAATAATTCTACAAAATATGACTAGTACACAGTCTACACATGACTGTAGAGTGGCCAGTTATCTGCATGTCCATGTTTTTATATGAAGCTTCCTTGATAAAAGAAAGATGATCTAACAAATCACTTCTTTTCTCAACTTGGTGGCCCTATGTCCTTTACAGCCCAAACTAAGAATGGTAGGTGTAGAGTCTTACTGTTTCTGCAACAATGCACAGTCTACATTATTGCTTATGCATGTTGCCTCCATAGTGTGTTTTTCAGGCATGAGACAAGCCATTATCCTTTGGACTGCTGTACATGTATTTCTAACATGAACATTTTGTCAGGATGCAGCATGCATCTATATAAGACTTTTCCCTCCTTAACTTAAGACTTCTCACATACCAATGAATTCATTCATTACAAGCAAATCCATTTCATAATTTTTCATGGTATCAAAGATTGACCAGCATGCATATGGCATGTTTGGCAAGGAAAAGGTTTACGTCTGAATCTAATGTCTCTTAAATTTTATCATATGAGGCTTATCTTAACAATTAGTGTGACAATGTTTTGTTTTTTTACGCGTACGAAGAATCTGCTCTGACGAACCCAAATACAGGGAACGAGCACAGCAGCTAAAAGAACACTTCCAGAAAAGAGGTTATGAAGACACACTCCTGGACGAAGCTGCACAACGCGCACTGAGACGCCCAAGGACAGAACTCCTAGGACCCAAGAAGACACAGCCAACTCCACAAGACCGACCAGTACTAGTCACCACCTACAACCCACACCTACCACCCATCAACAACATCCTCAGAAAATATTGGAACATCCTGCAGTTATCACCCCGAACACGAGATATCTTCAAAGACCCACCACTCATCGCCTACCGCCGCAACAAAAATCTGAGAGACTCACTGGTACGGGCCCGGATCCCGAAGGAAAACAAGAACTTCATCACGAAAAACATCCCTTCGGGCTCCTACCCATGCGGACGAAAGTGCCTCACCTGCACATACGTCAGGAAGAGTAAGGACTTCCACAGCCATCGCACTTCGAGACGCTATAACATCAGGGCCCATATTACATGCCGCACCAAGAACATCATCTACATGATACAGTGCAAAAAATGCGGCATGCAATACGTCGGAGAAACAGGACAGACGCTGGCCAACAGGTTGAATGGGCACCGATCGTCCATCAAAACGGACAAAGACACTCCCGTCTCTGCCCATTTCAACCAACCGAACCACACCGTCGCGGACTTGGAGGTCATCGGACTTGAAAAGCTGGCATACGGCAGAACCGAAGACATTACCCGACAACGGCGCCTTCAGAGGGAATCGTACTGGATCCATCAACTCCGGACACTTCACCCAGAAGGACTCAACCTAGAATCGCTGGAAATTACCAGGGTATGAGGGGTTAAGAAGTAAAGTACTCGTCGTAACCGGCACAAACCTCTGTAATCATTTTTAGTTTTCGCATTTGTCGGTTACTAGTATCCTATGGATCCGAGCACTTACGTACCCACTTAGAAAATTCAGAAGGTTGTGGTATTTATTATTTTTTATTTATTTTCTTCACTCAATGTTCGCACAACAGAATTCCTGTTCATGTATTTGCTTTACTCTGCTTGCACGGACCACTCACTCAGACTGATATGTATACACCATTGTAAACGTCACCATGACGTAATAACTGTAAGTTGCCTCATCCTCCAATGTGAAAACAGGACCTAATTGACATAGGCAATTGTTCTAGAACAATGGATGAAGTCATACCATAGGTCAACCAAGGTCAACTGAGGTCATGGCAACCTAACCTAGTGCATAGTACTCAGTGCATAGTGAACTAGACCTCCAGGTCAGTGCAATCCAGCCTAAACCAGGGCAATATGAGATGCTTAATGCTGATTGGTCAATATCTAAAACTCGAGCAGAGCGCCCTGCACTAGATAGGCACGGAAAAAGTATAAAAGGAGGAGTGGTCCGATCTCTGTCATTCTTGATAAAGACTGAATTAAAGTCGAAACCGGTCGAATCCCGTCTCGAGTCTGTCATCTTCCCATCGCTACGAATGATGTCTACTCACACAATCTGGGAGGATGCCGTATCCACGGCAGATGCCACGCGATCCAGCCTTGAGATTTCGACGACAAGAATACGTGACGAAGAGAGACAAGCAGAGAAGAACATGAAGAAAAGACCACGGAACGAATCTGGGACATCCGTTCCAGAACAGGAACCAGCACGGAAGGTACTCATCTACGCTACACGCCGAGAAACACCTTCCCCGAACACCACCCCAGCTCTCCAAAAGGCCCTGATCAAGGCCACGGACAAGAGCCTACGGTACCAACTTCATCGAGAGACGCTGCAGAAGTACCTGGACGAGAACCTGATCCCCAAAGGACTAGCGATCAGAAAGAAACCCATGCTAGGTAAGACTAGCCAGGAGTTCGAACGCCGTTGGGAAGAAACCCTCAGGGAAACATCGCGAACCTTGATGTCCCTGATCATCGACTTCTATGGATCGGCAGAGGACGACCTGGACAACACTATCGCGGGCCTAAACCGCAAGAAAGAGGACCTTCCTCGGGAAGAACGCGAAACTCTGGAGAAGAAAGTGGAAACCTTCAAGCAAAGAAAGGAAGCCACCCTCCTCAAAACGAAGGAGAAAAAACTCCAACGAGACCGCGACTTCGCTCGCAACGGCCCCAGCAAGAAACAGCGTCCAAAAAACGGAAACCCCCCTCCCAACAAGGAGGGGCCCGACGCGAAGAAACGCCGTCCAAAAAACGGAAGTGCCTCCCCCAAAGAGGGGCCCAAGGTGCCCAACGCCAAGGAATGGCCACGGCAACGCCCGAACGACCAAGGCCGCAAACGCGCCCCGTCGACGAAGAGGGGATTTCGCCATCAGAACAAACAAGAGGAAGAACGCAAGCAGCCCAACGCAAGGAGAAACCCCCGGGGAAGCTCCCTAAGAAGGCTCGTGCTCACCCTCGGCGATTTCCTCGCGAGATGGCCATCAAAGAGAAACGGAGGAGGAGGAAAGTCAGACAACGGGAGGAACGCCAACTCACGCGCCTCGAAGCGGCAAGGGAAACGGTGGTAAACCTCTCGGGCCTACCACTCTCCGACACCGACCTACTAGCACTCTCCAAAGGACTCAACTTTTCTCCATCACCAACCGACTTCAACCGACAACAACTCATCGAAGACCTCCATGCCTTCTTCAGAAGACTCCGTTTGCGGGAACTATTTGCTGACCACGAAAAAACGGAAACCCCTAAATTCAAGGTCAAAAGCAAATGGACCCCACCCACCCATAGAGATCCGGCGCTAGATACTTTCATCATGGCAGTTGAGAAGGAAATCCTCGAACACAAGGAACCTCTACCACGGCCACACAAGAGCAACATCTCCAACGCGGAACGCAGAGCCCTAGCGGAGCTGAGTCAAAGAACTGACATCATCATCAAACCCGCAGACAAGGGCTCCGCGGTAGTGATCCTGAAAAGAGAAGACTACATCCAAGAAGCGCTACGTCAACTCTCTAACAAGGATCACTACAAGAAGACCGACTCCTGTCTCACGGAAGAACACGCCGCGCTGGTAAGAACAACTCTTCTTAAACTTCTAAACGAAGATATTATCAACGAAGACGAGTTCAACTATCTAGCTCCTGTACACCCTAGAACGCCCGCCTTCTACCTTCTCCCAAAAATCCACAAAGAAGGCAACCCGGGCAGGCCTATAATTTCTGCTAACGAGTGTGCCACAGAAAGGATCTCTGAGTTTGCTGACTTTCATCTCCGCCCACTGGTTCAAAGACTACCTTCCTACATCAAGGACACTACAGACTTCCTACAAAAGCTGCACACACTCGGGAAGATACCATCAACAGCCAAACTGGTTACCCTAGACGTGTCATCCCTGTACACTAACATCCCAACAAAAGAAGGGATTCAAGCGTGTCGAGAAGCCCTCGATAGGAACCCATCGGACGTCCCTACAGAAGCCATCTGCGATATATTGGACAGGATACTGAACCTCAACAACTTTGAATTCAATGGAGGGCACTACATCCAGGTCCAAGGCACAGCTATGGGAACGAGAGTGGCACCCTCATACGCCAACATCTTCATGGAAAATTCGAGGAACAACACGTCTATAAGAGGAACCTCCAACCACTTGTCTGGTGGAGGTACATAGATGATATCTTCGCCATCTGGACACACTCAGAAGAAGACTTCCAGTCCTTCATACAAGACCTTAACACAGCACACCCCACCATCAAATTCACAGTAGAAACATCCACTACCTCTATCAACTTCCTGGACGTCACCATCAGCATCTCAGAGGGAGCCTTCGCGACTGACCTCTACACAAAACCCACAGACAAGCACCAGTACCTCCTAAGGAGTTCCTCCCACCCCACCCACTGCAAACGGGGTATCCCCTTCGGGCAATTCCTACGCGTACGAAGAATCTGCTCTGACGAACCCAAATACAGGGAACGAGCACAGCAGCTAAAAGAACACTTCCAGAAAAGAGGTTATGAAGACGCACTCCTGGACGAAGCTGCACAACGCGCACTGAGACGCCCAAGGAAAGAACTCCTAGGACCCAAGAAGACACAGCCAACTCAACAAGACCGACCAGTACTAGTCACCACCTACAATCCACACCTACCACCCATCAACAACATCCTCAGAAAATATTGGAACATCCTGCAGTTATCACCCCGAACACGAGATATCTTCAAAGACCCACCACTCATCGCCTACCGCCGCAACAAAAATCTGAGAGACTCACTGGTACGGGCCCGGATCCCGAAGGAA